TAATTGTAACCAGACAACAGGACGTACAGGAACAGAGAGGTGGAGGGCCCTGCTCAATGAGCTTACATTCTAATCTAGAAGGAGTGGGGTATAGTGACACACATGGTATAAGTAGGGGTACGAATTAGGTTGTTAGAAAAGTATTCACTGAGGGCTTAGTGGGTAATTTTTGACAGTTGACAGAGGAGTCATGGGGTGGGGAATAAAACCTGCTAACAGTTTAATTGACATGCTTTCTTGAAGAAGTAAGTTTTCAATGATTTGAATGAGTGGAGACAGAGTGAAAGTCTTACCGGAAGGGAAGGGCGTTCCACAGAAGAGGTGCAGCCCTGGAGAAGTCTTGGAGGCGAGTGTTAGAGGTGGTTAGAGTACGGTCAGAGGCTATACGTCAATCTTTGGCAGAGCGTAGGAGCCTCGACGGGACATGTGTCTTAGGGAGGATAGGTAGGTTGGAGCAGCATTATGTAGGGACTTGTAAGCAAGCACCAGAATTTTAAATTGAGCCCTATAGATAACTGGAGGCCAATGCAGGAATTGACAGAGCGGGCAGGAAAATGAGCCTCGCTGCCGCATTCATTGTAGATTGCAGTGGTGCCATCTGGGAACACTTAAGACCACTTAGAAGGGGATTGCAGTAGTCAAGGCGAGAGAGAACAGTATGGACCAGCACCTTAGCCGCATCTGGCGTTAAATAGGGGAGCATACGCACTATTTTTTTTTAGATGGAAGCGACAGGATTTGGCGATTGATTGGACATGAGGGGTGAAGGAGAGGTTGTAGTAAAAAAGAACACCTAGACAGTGAGCTTGCGAGGTAGAGGTGATGGTAGCACGGTTGACTTGGACACGGACAGACATGGGAGTGGTAACACTTGAGGGAGGAAAGACCAGAAGTTCTGTTTTGGACAGTTTGAGTTTAAGGAAGTGAGCAGCTGTTGCATTATTGCCAGTTGTTCACTGGGTGTCCAGGGCTTATATTCTTCCCAGTATTAGATTCCTTACCTTGCTGCAGCTGATTTCACTGTCAGGGGTACGTCCAGCTGTACGCTAGTGTCTGAGTCTCTCAACCGTAAGATCCCGGGGTCATGGCACCAAATTGATATAGATCCCAGTATTGATCTTTGTTATATTCAGAGGAAGCCCAAATTATTACAAGTGCACTTGTTGGAGCGCGAATTAGACACCAGACACCTGTTGGTATTCAAAATAAGCCTGTCGTTTTATTCGTCAGCTGAGTTTTTATACATTAAAAAGTAAGTGCTTATGTGCAAATACTGATAGGACAGTAGTAGGAAGGAAGGGAGTGAAAGGGTGAAAGGAGTACAGATAAGACATAGGGGTGAACGTCATGTACATATAAAAAATATGTTCCGAGAAAGAACAGTCTGATTTGAAAAGAGACAACTCAGGTGGGGGCTATCTGCTCCCGGAACTAGAAATACACTGCTCAAAAAAAATAAAGGGAACACTAAAATAACACATCCTAGATCTGAATGAATTAAATATTCTTCTGAAATACTTTGTTCTTCACATAGTTGAATGTGCTGACAACAAAATCACACAAAAATTAAAAAATGGAAATCAAATTTTTCAACCCATGGAGGTCTGAATTTGGAGTCACACTCACAATTAAAGTGGAAAAACACACTACAGGCTGATCCAACTTTGTTGTAATTTCCTTAAAACAAGTGAAAATGAGGCTCAGTAGTGTGTGTGTGGCCTCCACGTGCCTATATGACCTCCCTACAACGCCTGTGCATGCTCTTGATGAGGTGGTGGATGGTCTCCTGAGGGATCTCCTCCCAGACCTGGACTAAAGCATCTGCCAACTCCTGGACAGTCTGTGGTGCAACGTGACGGTGGATGGAGCAAGACATGGTGTCCCAGATGTGCTCAGTTGGATTCAGGTCTGGCGAACGGGCGGGCCGGTCCATAGCATCAATGCCTTCGTCTTGCAGGAACTGCTGACACACCGCCACATGAGGTCTAGCATTGTCTTGCATTAGGAGGAACCCAGGGCCAACCGCACCAGCATATGGTCTCACAAAGGGTCTGAGGATCTCATCTCGGTACCTAATGACAGTCAGGCTTCCTCTGGCGGGCACATGGGAGGGCTGTGCGGTCCCCCAAAGAAATGCCACACCATTACTGACCCACTGCCAAACCGGTCAGCACTCTGTCACAATCCGTCGGGATCCAGCAACCGCTAAGATCGTTATTATAGGGAACGTAGCACTGTATCATAGACTGGCGGGATCCAGCGACTTCTAAAATCATTATTATAGGGAATAATACAGCACTGTATCACAGACCGGCGGGATCTAGCGACCTCTAAAATCATTATTATAGGGAATAATATAGCACTGTATCAAAGACCGGCGGGATCCAGCGACCTCTTAAATCATTATTATAGGGAACGTAGCACTCTATCATAGACTGGCGGGATCCAACGACCTCTAAAATAATTATTATAGGGAGCATAGCTCTCTATCATAGACCGGCGGGATCCAGCGACTTCTAAAATCATTATTATTGGGAATAATATAGCACTGTATCACGGACGGGCGAGATCCAGCGACCTTTAAAATAATTATGGGGAATGCAGCACTCTGTCACAATCCGGCAGGATCCAGCAACCTCTAAAATCATTATTATAGGGAGCGTAGCTCTCTATCATAGACCGGTGGGATCCAGCGACCTCAAAATCATTATTATAGGGAATAATATAGCAATGTATCACAGACCGGCGGGATGTGTGTTTTTTGTGTGTGACTTATTTGAGTTTGTAACCCCTAGCCCATAGGGAGAGCTGCCTCTCTCCCCATGGAAGCCTCAGGACATGGCACCCCAAAACCAGGGAGTTATTCTGCAGTGATCCTACAGGTAGCTGCTGGCTATGCTTGACCCCTTGTGCTGCTAATTCCTTTGTATGGTTACACATACCCAATTATAGCTTCTTTTGATTGTCTTAGCTCTCCCCATGAATATTGATTATCCAGGATAGAGTCTTGGAGAGCTGAGAGAGGATAGCTCTTACTGCCTGCAATAATGCTGTATTTCTCCTGAAGATAGATTGCTGGGAATGTTCTTTGATGGATCATTCTTTTATTTTTGCTTCTTTTATGGTCATTACTGTTTGTATTAATGCTTTCTCTTGCCCTTTTCCCACTTTTTTTTCCTTTGCCTGGTTGCGTTCTGGCAGTGCATGAGCTCTGCTTTCACTTGAAGTAAATGCCTCCACGTATTTACAGTTAGTGGGGAGTTTACAAACTTATTTTTTTTAAATAATCTTAGGTGGTGGTTCCGCTCACTATATTTTACTGGTGTAAAATGATTTTCTTATTTATTGATTTAATAAAAGTAACATTTTAAACTTATTAGGATCAAAACCTCAGTTGATTTAAAATACCACTCATTTGGGACTATTTGGCATTTGTCCCCTCTCCTTCTTTTTTCTCCTGATTGTCTTTCTTATAATTCTATTCATAAGGAGATATACTTATAACCTAAGCGTATCAATCGTTTACACTTATATTGCCTCTGGTTCTTAGCTTTATCCATCTGTGGCCTTGACAGTCCTGAAACAATGGTTGAATGACTTTGAGGAAATTACATATCACATTTGGTCGGTTGATCTAGACTTTTGGACTCGTTGAATAAATTCAGGATGGCGATAGATTTTTCATCAGATGCTTTAATTCCTCTGGATCGTTCCCCTTCACAAAGCATGGTTCTCTCAGTAGCATCAAGACGTGTTCTTTGGCTGAGAATTAGGGTGGCAGATTCTTCTTCAAAGAATAGTCTATGTGCCCTTCTATTTCAAGGGGGAGATGCTTTTTAGGAAACATCTAGATACCTGTATAAAAAAGGCAGTGAATGGATGGAAGTCTTTCTTCCCCGAGATAGCCGTCCTAGGCAATCCTTTCCTCAAAAATTACTGTCCTCTCGGCACATGTATTACAGACGTTATACACCTGGTAAAGAATATTCCAGATCACAGACATGTAAAAGAGGTTTCTCTTCTTAGAGAGGTAATCGTGGACAAGGCGGTAGCTCCAGACAGTCTAAGCAATTCTGATGGGACGCCAGAGTAGTCCTTGGGAGTGGGAGCAAGACTTATGAACTTTTCTGAGGTTTGAGCTCAATTCATCTCCATCAAATGGATTTTAAAAACTCTAACCAAAGGATATTTTAAGGAATTCTCCACAATCCCTCATCCTGTTTCTAACAACCCAGTTTCCTCAAGGCACAAAGAAGGCAAACGCTCGTCATCTCTTCACAACCTCCCTCTTGTCAGAAGGAGTAATTTGCCCTGTTTCTCCTGCAGAAAGAGGCTTGGGTTAACGCTCAATCATTTTTTGGACTTCAAATGCATCAGGAAAATGGACACCAGTGTCAGATCTCCATTTGTTGCTTTGCAAAGTTGGGCTTTTTCAATTGCATTGTTCTTAATGTTAGTTAATGTTCAAGGCTCTAGCGCTCGGATTTCTGCAAGGATATTCTCCTTAAGATGCTTAAGTGTACACGGTTTGTTCACATACATCCGATCCTTAAAATATCCCAACAGGAAGTAATCAGGAGCTGAAAAGTAGGGCAAACACGGCGGCCAATTAATATGGGAATTTCTTGAAGTTATCCGCTTGATGAACAGTTATTTCAGTTTTTAAAATGAAATGCCATTATTTTTACTTGTTGTTCCTTCGTGAAAGCACCCATGATAATTCTCCCAAGACTCGGTTATAATATGTACCAGCAACAAAACAAATTTGAACTACTAACAAATAAGTTATTTACCTGTCTCATCCTTCTCTGGATTTTGGCCCGCCATGTTTTTGCTTATTCTTATTCTTGGTTACATGATAGCACTGTGATTAGGTAATCTTCATTTTGCAGTATGAAAAAAAGAAAGGGGTGAGAGGAATCAAATACTTAAAAAAAAATTTAAAAATATTTTTTGCATTCTAGGTGGAAGAGTTTGCTTACACATCGAGACGCTAATGATAATTAAAGGTGTGAACAAGGGACAGTGTTTCAACCAAACAAGTACTCTCTGCTGTAATTAGTGCCTCAGGTACCCTGAGGAAGAATGATAAGATCTTGTAGAATGTGACTTCACTGCCTCGGTATCCTGGAATGTGGAAAGAAGGCATGCAGAAGCCAGAAATCCCTTTAGGCCAGGGCCTCGGGAACTAGATGAAAGAACTCTCCATTCAATTGAAAGATGGGAAAATAATGTTTGCAGTTCAAATCTACCAGCTCTGAAACAACACCAACCAGGAGATGTGGCCAACCCCCCATACTAAAACACAGGTATTAGCGTTTCTGGGTACCGCAGGCTATTACCGGAAGTTTGTGCCCAATTATAGCACCTTAGCCAAACCCCTCACTGACCTTACCAGCAAAAACTTACCCAAGAAAGTCACCTGGAGCCCAGAGTGTGAAAAGGCATTCCAAGAACTGAAAACTGCTCTCATAAATGCCCCCGTACTTGCTGCTCCTGAACCAACTAAACGCTTTATCGTCCATACAGACGCTTCTTTTTTTTTTTTTTGTAAATATCTTTTTATTAAACCTTTAGTTTTTGTTGGTTTTGCAACATGTAAAAGAGAAACGTGGACTCGCAGGTCCCTCTGGTCATTCACAGAAGCTTATACATCGGAAGGCATGTTATGACATACGTGTCTGGGCGACTCGCAGGTCGCTTTCTTGAGTAAATAGAATGTGTATTGTGGACTTGCAGGTCCGGTGTTACATGGTGGTGCTTAGTACTCTGTTATATTTGATATGTACCATTTCTACGTTGGGTGGTTTTGCATGCCCCACCGTTGTTGTGTTTTGTTTGTCTATTCCCCATGCCTACCCTGTAGCCTCTAGGCAGTAGTGAGACATGTGGCCATCTGGTGTGTAGGGTCCCTTCAGGATGCGCAGCCCCCCAGTGACCTTGTGTCCAGGGTCCTACATGGCAATATTGTGGGGTGTTGGCCCCCTACCTTAGTATGATTCGGTTCTGCCCAGCGGTATAGGTGGTGTTGAGTAAGGGGCATCCTGCGACTCCCTCCAAACTAATGAGCTTTATAGCTCACAAAACTGGCGCTCTTCCACCCCCCTTGCTCGCAAGGCCGCAGGCCGCCCTGGGCCCCGCAAGTGGTCGCACCCTAGCGGGTGTCATAGCCCTCCCCGCACCGCCCCCCGGGTCCCCCGAACCCGCGCTCCACCCTGTTCTGACAGGGGGTGGGAGTGAGGTATCACGTTTTGGGCCAGGTGTGGATCGTCCCGCTGGTCTCCTAGCGTCTCCTCCTGGGGATTATCGGTTCCTTCCCCCATGGTCAAGTGCATAGTCCGAAATGCCTCTGTACCCACCCGTGCCAACCAGGGTGTCCATGTGTCTAAGTATGTCTGCGTTCGGTCTTGGGCTGAATACCAGATCTCCTCTGTGACTCGTAACTCCTCCATTCTAGTAAACCACAGGGAGAGTGTTGGGGTTGTGTCTTTTTTCCAGTACAAAGGTATTAGGTGTTTTGCGACGTTAAGGATTTGGATGGTCAGGGAGCGTTTGTAACGTGATGTGGGGGTTGTCGTGTGGTGTAGGAGGTATGGGGCGGGCCGGAAGGGTGGGACATTGTCTGTGAACATGGCCACCATGGCAGCTATTTGCTCCCAGAACGGTACTATGAGTGGGCATTCCCACCATATGTGAAGAAAGGATCCTGCCCCTCTCTTGCACCTCCAGCAGAGGCCATCCGCGTCCAAGTGCATTCTCTGTAAGCGTTCTGGGGTCAGGTACCATTGTGTGAGAACCTTGTAGGCAGTTTCCTGGGTTTTGCTAGCGATTGCGCAATGGTGCACTAGGTCGCAGATCTTGTGCCACTGGGTCTCGGTAAATGTTTCCCCTACGGCAGTCTCCCATTTGGACATGAAGGGGGGTGGGGTGTGTCCCTGTTGTCGTTGTAGCATGGAGTAGAGGTAGGAAATGCTATGGGGCATGGGCTCCGGGTCCTGGCACAGCTGTTCGAATGGCGTAAGGTCCCTATATACGTCGGGATGTTGTGGTATAACGGTGATGTAGTTCTTAATTTGGGTGTATCTAAATGTCGTCATGAAGGGCTGGGTGGGTGTGCCCGTGAGCGACTGTAGGGACACGATTTTCCCATTGGTGGTCATGTCTCGGAGTCTGGGTATGGTTTGAGGGAGGACGCAGCGGAGGCTCCCCGGTCTTACCCCCGGTTCAAACTCCGGATTGTACGGCAGAGGCAGTAGCGGGGATGGGAAGGAGGAGAGGTGTAGTTTCCTCGCTTGTGAGTGCCATACGGTTAGGGTGGCGGTGATGAAGGGCTGTTGGTGGACTAGCCGCCTACCAATCGGTGGGTCCAGCCACAGGAGGGCTGAAAGGGGCCTGCCTGCGTGGTGTGTTTCGATAGCCTTCCAGGGTTTGCTAATCCCCTCTTTTGCCCATTCCAGGGCCCGTTGCATGTGACATGCTTGGTAATACAGTTTAAAATCAGGAACGGCCAGGCCTCCTGCTGTTTTGGGGAGTGTGAGTTGTGTGTACTTGAGTCTGGGTTTAGTACCCTTCCAGATAAATTTAATGAGGAGGGTGCGGAGTGCGGAGAAGAAGGTGGTAGGGAGTTGGAGTGGTAGTGTCTGGAATAGGTAAAGTACCCGTGGGAGGATGTTCATTTTGGCAATGGCCACCCTGCCGAGCCAGGAGAAGTGAGGTGTGGCCCATTCTGTCAGGTTCTTCCGTAATGTTGCCATCAGTGGGGTGAAGTTCATATGGTAAAGTTTGGATAGGTCGGCCGTGAGCATCACCCCCAGGTATTTAATAGGAAGGGGAAATTTCGTCGGATTTGGTCTGCCCTCTTCCGGGGGAAGCCAATGTTAAGTATAGAGGATTTAGCGTAATTGATCTTGAGGTTGCCATGAGGTTTGGGAGGGAGATTTCTGGGTTTGTTATAAAAAATAGCATATCGTCTGCATATGCTGCGATTTTGTGGTGGTCTGCCTCCACCGCCACCCCCGAGATATCTGGGTTGTCCCTTACCGCTTGTAGGAAGGGCTCCAGAGCCAGGATGAACAAAAGCGGCGACAGAGGGCAGCCCTGCCTGGTTCCATTCCTGGCCGGGAATGCATCTGTATAGACCCCATTTATGCACACCCTGGCCGTGGGGGACGAGTAGAGAGCCTCTATCCGCTGGCGCATGTGGGTCCCCAGGCCAACATGCTCCAGTACCGAGAACAGGTAGTCCCACGCCACCCTATCGAAGGCCTTCTCCGCGTCCGTAGAGAGGAGGAGAAGGCTCTCCGAGGAGCGCTGTGCATGGTGGATCAGGGAGAGGGCCCGGACCGTATTGTCCCAGGCTTCCCTGTGGGGGACGAATCCCACTTGGTCAGGTGAGATTAAGTCTGGTATGTGTGGATTCAACCTTGTAGCTAGTATTTTAGCAAATAGGCGTAGGTCGCAGTTAAGCAACGATATCGGTCGGTAGCCCGTGCACCGTTCAGTATCTCCCCCATCCTTTGGCAGGACAATATTGGCCGCTTGTGTTTGCTGGGGGATAGTATTTCCCTCTGTTATAGAGTTGAAGGCGGAGATAAATTGGGGGAACAATGTGGCCAGGAAGGTTTTGTAGTATTTGAGGGGGAGGCCGTCTGGGCCTGGGCTTTTGCCGGTCTTCGAGGATTTGATGGCTTGGGCCAGTTCCCACTCCATCAGGGGCGCCTCCAAAGCCTCGGCTGCGTCTGAGGAGAGTTTAGTTTTAGTGTATTTAGAGAGGTATGCGTTCATGCGGGTCGTTCCCACGTTAGGGTCCACCCGAGGGGCATGGGGGGGGGATCGCGTAAAGGTCCGTGTAGAAGCGGGTTACAGCTGTAGCGATTTGATCTGGCATGTGGTGTAGTTGGCCTGCGGCGTCGCGCATGCGTACAATATATGTCATGGAGCGTTTTTTGTTGATCTGGCCAGCAACCTGCCGTACTTATCTCCTTCTGTGTAGAAGAATGATTTAGTGCACTGGAGGGCCCTAGTGTACGATTGCCGCAGGGTCCGTGCTAGTTCTTCACGGGCTGCTGTGAGTTCCCCGAGAAGTGTGTCGTCTAGTGTTCGCTTGTGGGCCTGTGTTAGGGTCCATATCTTGGCAGTTAGTTCTCGGATCGTGTGGTCCCGTGCCTTCTTCAGAGCAGAGGAGTGTGAGATGAGAATCCCTCTCATCACACACTTGTGGGCCTCCCATTTCAAGAGGGGGGATGTGTCCTGTGGTAAGTTCTCGGTGAAGTAGTTCGTCAGGGCTTGTACGTCTTGGGCCACCTGCGGGTTGGATAGGAGGTTTTTGTGGAGCTGCCATGTCGTGGTTTTGGGTTTGTGTAGTGGCGATGTGAGTTGGTTCGTGAGTGGTGCGTGGTCGGACCACATTGTCCCCCCTATGGCCGTGTCCCGCAGTCTGGGTAGATAGTAGTATGGCAGAAAGAAGTAGTCGATGCGTGTGTAGCAGTCATTCGGGGTCGAATAGAAGGTGTAGTCCCTACCTGTCGGGTGTGTCGCCTTCCAACAATCTGTAAGCCTGTACTGGTGGAGAAGTTTACGAATTTTAAGCAGTGGGGGGGGGGGTGTCGATGAGTGACCCTTGGATGCGTCCATCGTCTGGTGTAGAGCGATGTTGAAGTCCCCACCCAGGACCAGACAGCCCGTTGTGAAGTCGTGGAGGGCCCGGAGTGTGTCCCGGAGGAATCTGTCATGTCGCGTGTTTGGCGCGTAGATGTTGGCAAAGGTATAGGTTTTGTCCAGGATTTTACCCCTAACGAATACGTATCTGCCCAAGTTATCAGTCATGGTCGAGTCAGCTACGAAGGGTATGGATTTGTGTAGGAGTATTGCTGTCCCCTTAGATTTCCCATCCGGGTTATTGCTGTAGAAGCCTTGGGTGTATATATGGTTGCAGAGTTTCGGAGCAGCGTTGGTTTTAAAGTGGGTTTCTTGGAGGTAGACCACATGGGCTCTAGTTTTCTGACCGAGGCGTAGCGCGTGTGACCTCTTTTCGGGGGAGTTTAAGCCCTTAGCGTTTAGGGATAGGAAGTTAAATGGGGCCGGTGCGTATTTGGGTGCGGGTGTAGCCATAATATCAAGTCCCGCGGGTGTCGAAGTCGCCCCGGTTAGTGGGGGCGGGTGAGGGCCTAAGTAGGTAGAGCCCGGCCCGGGGGCAAGCGGGGCAGAGCGGGGGAGCGGATATGTCAGGGGGTAGAGATCCCCCAGCCTGGAGACCGGAGTGGGGGATGGCCCCCTCTATACAGTAGACACTGACCTCACGGGGAGTGGAAGGCGCCTTGTCAACCCACCAACAGCGGCGGCTGTGGATCAAAACAAACACCAACAGGTGTAACTTAAACCTGTGAAAACTGCTGTCGCGCCCCCGGGGCGAGTCTCCCAGGGTATGGTCGGGTTCCAGCTGTAACTGTAACCTGTTGTGTGTCTGCAGGGACTCGCACCCGGGTCCCGACGTTGTCCTGTCTGAAGGGAAGATGTACTAGCCTACCCAGGGCGTAACCCCCTTTCTACTGTGCGGGTGTTTAGGATGTTGGTGGACCCCGTCCCCCAACCCATTCCCCCTATGCGCATCAGTGTAGCCCCGTGGTGGCGTTTCTCCGTCCCTAAAAGTGGTATGGAAAGCCTGTGTCCCCCCGGAGGGCGTCCCGGTTAACGGACCCCCTTGTGGGTTCCCCCTTCTGTGTGGTGGTGGGTTGCGTCGCTCTGGTTGCAGCACGTCTCTGGGTTGTGTACGCGGGTGCTCATACCATATTGCATATAGAACTGTACCCTGGTGTAGCGTGGTCTGGCACCTATCCAGTGTTGCATGCGAACCCCTAGACCCTTGGAACTTGCGTGTGCGCCGAACCTGTGGTATAAGTAATAGCCAGGCGTGGGACGTGCAGGAGCATACGTCGTGTTGTACCCAGTCCCATGGTGCTAGTAGCGTGTACGGGTGTGTGCGCAGGGTGACGTGCACCAAGGAGCACTGTTAGCCTGTGCTGGCAGATCTATACATATATACACATTCACATATATACACAATATATACACAATGGTTCATTTAGTGCAGTAGACAAGTCTAACATAAGCAGGCGCATACACCATATTATACAGATATAAAGCAATGGAAGGTACTAGAGGGGCATGTCCAAAAGGGAGCCCCACAAATAGAAAGACCTAAGAACAGCTCCTAGGAAAAACATATGTTATATACAATGCAATGGACAGTTTGAGCATGCGCGGGCGTGCATATGGGTCTATACACCAGCCAGGGAGCAGTGTGAGCATGCGCCGGCACGTTTACAGCGGTCAATGTAATGCAGTGGACAATTGTGGCGTGTGTGGGCGTTTATGCCATGGTACCCGCTCTGCGGTGAGCAGTTTTAGTGATGGCGGGCGCAGAAACAGTGGTGTGCAGCGGGGGGGGGAGGGTAGTTGTGACCTGTGCATGCGGGTGATATGCAGCGCCGCGGATAATTATAGCATGCGCTGGCACATAAGCGGTGGGCAGTTGCAGCATGCGTGGGCGCGTGTGCCACAGAGACACGGTGCAGTAGGTGCTCCCAGCGGGCCAGTGTCAACATTGGCGGACATTACCAGTTACCACAGTCCCATGGGCCACATCCCCCGACCCACCCAACCCCATCGGGGTAGACTGGGCCCTCATGTCCATGGTGGCGCTTCTGTGTGGCCTGGCTGTAGGTGAGGTGTGACTCAGCAACTGTCCGCCCGGCATAAGGTGCAGTTCTGTGGGGCCGAGAGACATGGTGCCAATGTGGGGTGTCCAATCGGTAGGTTGGCTAAGTTCGTATCTGGGAACAGTGTCTATGTCCTGGAACGGGGCTATTTGTGCCCTAGAGAGGGCCAGGCTGGTGTTGGGCGCATTGTGGGGGGGAAGGGAGGAAAGTCATGCCCTCTAACGGGCGGTACCTGTGGGCCTAGTGGCCTCCTGGTGTCCCCCTCTAGTGCGTTGCGGCAGCGCCGGTCTTGGGTAGGGGTTTCTTGCGGTGGTGTAGATGTCCAGTGGGTCAGGCCATCTCATGTTGATGGCGGGCAGTTGGAGCTCTGTGCCCAGTGCTATATAGTCGCTGTGTGTGCGGACCAGAAACAGACCTCTCGGCATGTGGACGAGCAGTCCCATGGGCATCTGCCATCTGTACCGGATCTGTTGGGCCACCAGTACCCTCGTGAGTGGTTTCAGAGCGCGTCGGTAGGTCAGGGTAGCCGGTGATAAATCGGGAGAGAGTTGCAGGTCTTGGTTCCGGTAGGTGAGCGATTGCCGGCGTCGTGCTTGTTTAAGGATAGTCTCCTTTAAGGCAAAATTCGCTAGGCAGCATATGACATCCCTGGGTGGGCTATCTGGCGTGCCATTAGGACGGAGGGCTCTATGAGCTCTTACAAATTCTATGTGTGCCTGGTGGTCTCGGCCTAGGATCCCATTTAATATTTCCAGGAGGATTTCTTGTAGCTGCTGGGGGGAGTCCTCCGTTTCAGGGAGGCCGCGCAGTCTTAAGTTATTGCGGTGCCCCATGTTGTCCAGGTCCTCAATATGTAGGGCCATGCCACGTACCTGTTCTGAGGTGTCTGCAGCCTCTGCTAATGTATTCTGTGCTTCCCTCAGGCTGTCACAGGCTGCCTCTATGTGGCCCACGCGGTCTGACAGGCCCTGCATGTCAGCCCTCAGTGCCTGGATGTCCTGCCTGATTGTAGCTCCCAGGTCTGAGGTGGCCAAGCGGAGATCTTCTTTGGTGGGCAGTGCTCTCAGGAGGTCTAACCAAGGGGGCCGTTCTGTGCCGCCCGTGAGCATGTCTGATGCCGGTGAGGAAGGCGCGGACTCCTCCGACGCCATTGATCCGTCGGCGCCATGCGGCTGTGTCGCAAAGTCTGCGGGGGTCACCAGGAACTGGCGCAGGGACGAGGTGAGCTGTCCCTTTTTGGGCTCTGGGGTCTTCCCGGTCTGTGGGGTCCTATTTGGTCTCCCCATGTCGGCAGTGTAGCGGGTAGGCTGCGGTTTTGGAGTCGGGACCCGGGCGGCGGGAAAGTTTAAGCGGCCATGTTCTTCGGCTGCCAAGCCACGCCCCCTACAGACGCTTCTATGTTTGGATTGGGAGCAGTGCTGAGCCAAGTCGGAGCCGGTGGCGGCGAGCATCCAGTGGCTTATTTGAGCAGAAAACTTTTACCCCGGGAAGTAAGCTACGCCGCCATCGAGAAGTAATACCCGGCCGTGGTGTGGGCCCTCAAGACGCTGCAGCCCTATTTATATGGACAACCGTTCTCGCTGCTCACAGATCACAGTCCGTTGGTGTGACTGAACCGGGTGTCTGGGGACAATGCCAGGCTGCTGCGCTGGAGTTTGGCGCTGCAGCCTTTTGACTTTACTATCCATTACCGCCCGGGGAAGCAAAATGGCAACGCCGACGGGTTATCCAGACAGACTGAACTCGAAAAGTGATCTGTGCGTACTCCTCCAGACATCCCCAAGCCGATCGATTAGGATTGAACTGTGTATGCCGGCTTGGTTCTAGGGGAACATTGTGGCAAACTTAGCCACTACGGACTGTTAAGGACTTTCTTGCAAGAGACTGTGTTCGGGACTTAAAATGGCTGTATCCCCTATTACTAGTCTATGGGGATCAAGCACAATAATTAAATACCGAATAAGAGACAAACCTAGAGAGGTTGTGTGTCTCTCATTAGCCCAGTTGCAACATTTTTTTCAAGCTTTTAAATGGTTTCGTGTGTGTGGCCGCCGTTCGTGTACAGAACACGTGGCCACAGCCATCTTTGTTGGCTAAGAGTTCAACGGCGTTTGGTTGTCGAGTGCCTGGAACTAAAATCGGCTACTTGATTTCCAAACACCGCTGGACTTCCATATCGTTTGGGAAACTCGCTCATTCGGGGAATTAAAGCATTTTGTGAGTTCTCCCTATCCAGACCCGGTTCACCAAAACGGTTTTCTGTGTGGCATTCGGCTATTTCTGCAGGCATCTGAGCGGTAATTTGTGAGATTGTAAATTCAGATCCCTGCAATCTAATGACGGGTCATTCGTGGAAATCTGTTGTAAGTCATAGATTTTGATGTAAAATACCACATTTTACTGTACCCACTGTTAATGCAATTATCTGTGCCTGATGATGTCATCTTTGTCCTTGTACAGCAGGGGATGCTGGGAAACGACCTTGCATGGTCAGTTTCCCACACAGTCCACCTGATTAAAACCCCTGCTGTATCAGTCTGGAAACCCCTTGCAAGGGACCCCGTATAAATTTGGTGACTTTTCAATAAAGCCTTAGTTGACTCCCAGACTATGTGTCGTCTAGTCATTGGGGAAAGGGATTATACTGCGCTTCCTGTATGCTGAATCCTGACTACCAGCGGAGATAGCGTGTATTAACCCTTGCTACTCCGCTACAGTTCAAGAGTTCCAGAGAGCCCCCAGTCACTTTCTTCGACTGGGGCTGAAGCGTTCCAGGGTTCCTGAAAGCAGCTAGGAAGCGGACCGGGATTACTCCAACCATCATGACTACTTCAGTGATTTTTAAGTGGTCGTGTTGGTAGGAGCCAGGATGTGCAGTCTTTCACCTTGAAGCACTGCACACCCAAGGTAATTTCTGATTGTGTGCCGGGTGATATTAGATGGAGTGCCATGCATATTATGCCAGAAAATGTTTATATTCTTCTTCATACACTGCAGGTCACCATTAAGAAAAATGGTATCATAGATATGTTTGTAGCTATTTAAAACCAAATAGTGGAAAACATTTTCTGACATTGAGAAAGCAAGTTGTTCATTGACACTGAAATAACTTATTAGATAATGATCTAATTCAATTTGCAACTTTAACCACTTTAACTAAAACTATGAACAAATAGTTTGTTTATTCTGACAAGCTGTAAAATCTAGTATGAGCTCATTTAAACAATAGAGAGACCTCCATCTCAGGGCGAAGATTTAAAGGACCGCTACAGTGCCAGGAAAACAAACTCATTTTCCTGGCACTATATAATCTTTAGGTGTGTCCCCCTCCCCACCCTCAGGGGCCTCCTCCTGCTGGGCTGAAGGGGTTAAAACCCCTTCAGCCACTTACCTTAATCCGGCGCTGGTGACCTCTCCTCCCCCTCCGTCAGCTCCCGAGTGGAGCCGAATGCACATGTGCAGCCAGAGCCGCGCTCGTATTACAAAACGCCCATTTTAAAGCATTTCTTAATGCTTGTCTATGGACGTTCTGCGTGCTTAATGCAATTTTCACATTGAGCATCAGGGAAGCGCCTCTAGCGGGTGTCAGGAAAACAGCCACTAGAGGTTTCTCTGAAACTGCTACGTTTACACCTGAAGGGTTAATAACTGGTGGACCTGGCACCCAGACCACTTCATTGAGCTGAAGTGGTCTGGGTGACTATCGTGTCCCTTTAAAGTCCAGATCACAAGATCTCTTGTCCTAAACTTAAGAATGGGGTGAATATTGAATGGTCTGACTGAAATGAAATTAGGATATTCATATTAAAGTATATCCTAAATGCAATTATGGTGAAGAATATAAAATGTTAAAGGACAACTAGAGGCATCCAGACCACTTCAGCTTAATGAAGTGGTCTGGGTGCCTGGTCCAGCTAGGATTAACCTTTTTTTTTTTTTTTTTTTATAATAATAATAGCAGTTTCAGATAAACTGCTATGTTTACACTGAGGGTTAATCCAGCCTCCAGTGGCTGTCTCACTGACAGCCGCTAGAGGCGCTTGCGTGCTTCTCACTGTGAAAATCACAGTGAGAAGACGCCAGCGTCCAAAGGAAAGCATTATAAATGCTTTCCTAGGAACTGGTTGAATGCGCGCATGACGTTGCTAGGAAGGAGGAGGAAAGCTCCCCGTCCGGCACTGGAGAAAGGTAGCCCGGCAGGAGGGGGTCCCTGATGGTGGAGGCACCCTCAGGGCACTATAGTGCCAGGAAAACACTATAGTGGTCCTTTAAGGCAGTATGTCATGTTGAGTTATTGCATTTGTTGATAAATTCTTTGAGCCAGTAACTACATTGCTAGTGATGTCCCGAACTTTGACCCTGTACCTCACAGTCAGCAGACACATTCCAGCCAATCAGCAGCAGACCCTCCCTCCCAGACCCTCCTACCTCCTGGACAGCTCACTAAGAATGCAGCTTCACAATGAATGTAAAATGGATGCTGTCCAGGAGGAGGGAGGGTCTGCTGCTGATTGGCTGGAATGTGTCTGCTGACTGTGAGGTACAAGGTCAAAGTTTACTCAATGATGACATAGGGGGCGGACTGAACAGCGCATATGTTCCCCGTCCGTGTTCGGGACATCACTATAACATTGCTCATTATCCAGATTTTCAGAAAATTGCCTTCCTAGCAATAGTGAAGATAACACTGGTCCTGCGCCAGTATTTTACGACTGCTGCAACATGTCGGTAGACGCCGGCCGCTGCGGATCCAAGCTATATTGTATCCCCACGTCCACCTACGATCTTGTTGCCGTGCGTGTGATGTCACACAAAAGACGCACACGTTTTGGGGTCAAAGACCGGTTACGGCCAATCAGATCTGCAAGAGGGTTATTAAACTAATTTCTCCTTTTGCTCATTGCCCTGTCGTGGTTTCCCTTTGCTGTTTATCCGAAAGAGTGTTCCTGATCGTGGTATTTCTGGTATTTGACATTGGCTTCATTTGACTTCCCTGATTTCTGGTGTCCTTGACTTTTGGCTTTCCCTCATCGTTGTGTCTCAATCTGTATCCCTGACCTCGGCAATTATTCTGACTATTCTTGGATACGTTAAGTCTGGCCATTCAAAGGTCCGCTTATACGTTATCCTTTGTCCTAGGTGTGATATTATTCTGCGTGCTGGATCACTTAGCAATCCTGACAGTAGAGAGGCTTGGTGAACTTAAATTTGTTAGTGTGTGTGTCTGTCAGTCTGCGTCAAATCAGTGAGTTCATGTCTGTGAGTGTGTCTGGTTAGGTGACCAGCCCACCCGCAATCACATAGGAAAGGTGTTTTTACTCACCTTTTGTGCCACGCCTTGCTTCTGTGGCTGAGATAATCTTGATCTCAGCCAATCCAGTGCTTTTCCCATCTCATTGAATCAGTGCATCTTTATGGGGAGCATTCAACTGCTCCGTGCACATCGTGGAGACACTAAATGTAGGTGCTGCATACTGTGCAGCACTGGACTAGAAAGCACTTCTAGTGGCCGTCTGAGTGACTGTCACTAAAGATGTTACAGGGAAGCAATGTAAACACTGCCTTTTTCTTGAAAAAGCAGCGTTTACATTGAAAAGCTTGCAGGGACAGGATATAGACACTGGAACTACATTAACTGTAGTGGTTATGGTGACTATAGTATCCCTTTAAGAATTGTATTTTTGTCGTTGAATACAAATCTTTGTTAGGGGGGTGTGGCCGGGCCGCCAGGCCGACTGGTAGCCATGAACTTTAGCTCCAGACCCGAGCACATGAAAAAGGCACTAAAAGTGTGTGCTGAACACCCCAAAGTTGATATCTCCGTAGTACCAGTGAAGAGCATAACCCCAGCATCAGAAAGACTCCCAATAGCCACCAATAGCAAACTGGAACGTGGGTGCTGATATGCCCGGCCTACTCACGACCTGGAGCCTCAAGAGGCAATTGAGCAGGGCGGGCGGTGCGAGAGAGCCCTGACACAACGCTGCCGGTGGTGCGGCCCCGCTCCGCCCCCCCACAGCCACAGCGGTGAATACTTGCAATCAGCTGTTTAAAATCTATTTAATTGCGCATCCGACTGCTCTGAGAAGGGACACAGTGAAAAATACTCACCTACCGTGGGGGTCCGGCTTGGACAGTGCGTGTGGCCTTCGGTGCTACCGGCCTCCAGATGGATTCTCTGGCAACCAGCCCGCAAGAGGAGTAGGTGCCCTGGCCTCCGTGTCCCCGGAGAGTCTTGTCCTTGATGCTGTGAGCCCTGTGGACCAGGTGGTGGCGGGCATCCCGGCGGACCGGTGGCCGAGACTGGCGCGCACCATCCCCAAGAGTGTGGCCGGCGCCAGGAGAGACATGGGGGCACACACTCCACAGAGGCTTGAAAGGTTTTGGGGAGGTGCAGGGGGCAGACGGTTCGTAGACTCTAGGTGTAGGGGTCATGCGGACAGCTCCTGCTTCTGAGTACCCACAGAGCCATGGAGAGTCCTGCGGACGGGCTGAGGCCTGCCTGGGGGAGACGGATGGGGACTCGGCTGGCTGAGGGGCATATTGCTGCTGTGACATAGACGGCCCTTGCCCGACTAATATAAAGTCCTGTGCTGCTATAATTCTTATTTAATTATTCTCTAATAAATATAACGTTTCGTAAATCTAAAGTCGGAGGTTTACACCCCCATCATATCACCCTATGTTAGGAAACAGCCTGCTTACAGTCTAACCGTTCTTTGCTTATTTCCTAGATGTGTTTGTAATCCCGAGCATATAGATTTTGTGGGTCCTATTTTAGGGACATCGGGTACCGCTTACCTGAGGGCACGAATTAAAGACTTTCAACATACTACCCTGTTTAAACGTGTGCAGTGGAAGCTGTACAGCAACCAACTCCCATTATCTATTGTTAGCGTCACTGATAAGTTAGACGATTGCTGCTAATGAACCAGTCTAAATCATACTTGCGCAGCTAGTAGCATACACCTGCCCAGCCTTAGGGTATTCAATAAAAGGCTTATAAAAATAACACTCCAGGCCATAACATATGCCATATGCCAAGAGCCCGCCTAACACTCATGGGCCTGAACATAACTGCGACTTATTAAGAGGTATACACTCCATCATTTAAAAACAAATATACTCCTTATGTCAAAAGATTGAACGTTATTATTTTTAATATTTGTATATCTACTTCATAGCATACCTACTGTGCAAATAAGGAAACATTGTCATAATGCTAACAAATATGATTTACCATGGCCACACAATGCCAGACAAATGCACCGCTTTGGCCACAAAAGAGATAAAGTCCACATGTTAATACTGAGTACAGCATATTTAACAGCATGTTTAATAATGTGGTAGTATGTATATCTTTTTACCAGAATTGCATCATTAACACAGGCCTACATCAGGCTGTGCGTTATGAGAGGATTGTTTTGTTTTGACAGACCATTAGCCCGTATAAATGTCCAGCCACATGTGTTGCATAGTTTGGTGCAGAGTACATATAAGATAACCTTGAGCGGTGAGCACTAGATACCAAATGAAAAGGGTAACATATTTTAAAGCTATAACATGATATGATAAACTTGTACACATAACTACTCACGTTTTTCCATAACGAATGCATTGTTTACGCTTTATCCCCTGCGTGGGAAAATTGCTTATTGTGTTGACCTTAATAAAAACAGATTTAAAACAAATCTTTGTTAGTTTAAAAGCTGGCTCCTGGATTCAAAGCAAATTTGTCATGCCCTGTTGTATTGACTTATAAAATTAAGTAGAACTGCAAGAATTTAGGATTAGAATTAAAGTAGTAGGTATATCTTTAAATCAAAATTGTGGGTATCGTCAAATAATATCACTATATTAATACAATTATTAATGTTCCATTATTTTCACAAAATATTATTTTGTCCCACAATTATACCTACAGGAGGAAGAAAATCAGCTTTGGAAGCTTTGCTTGGCTCTAGGTTCAAAGTAAGTAAAAACTTTATTTTGTTTTCATGGGCGTGTAGCGGATTGGCAATATTAAATTCCACGATCTCCGCTGGTATAAAAGGTAATCCACAGTCAAGCGCTGAAAAGAAAGGCAATGTCCCAAATCCCCCCAGTAACTGTACAAAACACAGTTCTGGGAGTCAACTGAGGTTTTTATTCACAGCTCCAATATTTATGCAAGTCCCCATGCAAGGGGTTTCCCCACTGACATAGCAGGGGTAATACAGTAGGGGGACTTAACATTCTGAGCATTTCTCCCATCAGGCACTGCTGGAAGAGAGGGATACTCCCACTGGAATATACCATTAAGTGGATTATCCCTCCGTGCAGCAGAACCGACATTTTACATTTATATCCATAACTTTAACAATATTCAGTTTATTTAAATGACTGGACGTTCGGTAAAAAGCTGGGGTCTGAGTCCACATTTCGTGGGAATACCGCTCAGATCCCAGCTAAAACAACCGAACGCCGCATGAAATACGCTTTGCCATCGAGTTCGCCTAAAAGTACCGAACACTGATGGGGAACCACAATAACGAAAGACTGGAGCTCCCGAATGGCCTGGAAGTCCAGCGGTGTTCGCGCCGTCGAGTAGTCGTTTTCAGTTCCACGCGCTCGACGACCAAACACAGCTGGTGAGACAAAGGATCCAAGATGGCTGACCGCCGTGTGGTCGGTAGCCGAACGGCGGCCACCTAGGAAAGTCTCTAATTACAAGTTGCAACAATGTTGCAATCGGTTAATGAGCGCCACACGTCCCTCTATGTGTGGGCTATCGGGGTAGCTCATTCGGTTCACGAACAGCCAGTAAAGTCGCTGTTCGTGAAACGAAACACATGAATGCTAGCGGCTTTCGGCTGCTAGCATACGAATTCTATGCACATAACATTATCAACCAAGGTTATACATATAGTACAGCGGTTATTACCGACAACCGTTTTATACATAGAGTCCAGCATCCTACAAGTGGCTAGGTTTGCCACAGGGCGGAAACTGAAAACAGTGCCCATATGGCCTTGCAAGACTTTAGAGCCCAATTGTACAAAAGGGTTAGAGTAACGCTTTAATGAGTGTCCTGGTGGGGTATCCTGTGTAAAGAACCTTAGAAGAACTGGTAGTTTTGCCGTCAGTCCCCATAAATTAGTTATCATGGGTTCATGATCCATGGTCATCCAGGTTCAAAGTCTACATTTGGAGCTCTCTGTAGAAGGCAAACAAAATAATGTGTTTATTTGAATTGAAAATGGTAAAAAGCCAAAACATGTTCTATTCCTCCCACCCCCATTATCCTGGTAATTACTGTGGTGCATCTAAGCAGGATAATGGTGGAGGTCTGGACACTCTGTTTTTTCTGCAAAGTTCTACCACTGGATGTCCTAACTCAGGCATAGGCAATCTTTGGCACTCTAGATGTTTTGGACTACACCTCCCATGATGCTTTGCCAGCATTATGGGTGTGGCAAACATAGCCACTTAAGACTATTCTTTTATGTATAAGGGTTGCCCTGGAGAAACTGTTTGATATATGGCTTATTTTAGGTTGTTCGCTTAGATATGTGATTAGAGGGCATTCGAATGCTATTGGTGCGAAAGCCGCTAGCATTCCTATGGTAGTGTCACGAACAGGGACTTTCAACACTGTTCGTGAAACGAACAAAGTACCGAATGGGAGACCACACACAGGGGGTCGTGTGGCTCGCATTAACAGATTGCAACAATGTATCTAGCCTCTGTTAATTGATTCGCAGGGTGGTCGCCATTCGGATACCGACCACGTGGCGGCGGCCATCTTAGATCCCCTTTTAGCCCAGCGATGTTTGGTCGTCGTGTCCCTGGAACTAAATTCGGCTACTCGACAGCACGAACACCGCTGGACTTCCAGACCGTTTGGGACCACCGGTCCTTCGGTAGTTTCATATAAACTGTTCATTCTTGTGTGTTCCTATAAAACGATGTTTCGTGTGGCTTTCGGCTAATTGTGCTGGGATCTGAGCAGTAGTTTCCCGAAGTATGCGCTCAGATCCCAGCTATCTATATAGATGTAATTCGGTTAAATGGCACGAATAATGTGCAAGTTATGTATTTTTAAGTGAAAAGACCAGTTCTGCTGTACAGAGGAATAATCCACTTAACATGATATTCTTATGGGAGTATCCCTCTGGTACAGCAATGCATGGTGGGAAAATTGTCCTGTATGTTCAGTTCCCCATGTAGTCCCTTACTGTTAAACCCCTGCAAAGTCACTCAGGAAACCCCTTCCATGGGGATCTACATAAATACTGTGACCTGTGAATAAAACCTCAGTTGACTCCCAGCCTATGTGTCATCTAGTTCTTGGGAAGGAAAGATTCTAATAACGCTATCGGGATTATTGTATACTGTACATGTCTACCTGGATTATGACATGCTGTTCCTGTCTACCAGCTGAGATGCTATGAATGGGTGTAAGAGTATTATGGGGGATGTAGTCCAGAACATCTAGAGTGCCGAAGGTTGCCTATCCCTGTCCTAGCTCATCGAGAGAGATGGGATAGTGACAAAAATGCCATACTGGGTGCATGAGTTCTAGTCCCAATACTTGATGGCTCTGATGGAGGCCAAGATACAAGATAATATGCTACCTATTATTTGGTCTTTGCTTTTTTTGTAGAAGTTTACTAGACTTTGTTGGTCTCCATGCAGCCTTCAGCCTTATTTGCAGTATGTTTGTTAGTCACTCATTGTGTCTCATTTTATATACTAGATGTACGGTTCTGCTGTTTTGTCGGGAAACCTGAAAAACGGAGGTCATCTTTTTCCTTAATTTTTCTTTCCCAGCATTACAAACTGTTCTATAGATTATTCTTGACAGTTTATACACTAACCTCTGAATTGAGTTGAACCGAAAAGCAAATTGCAAAAATTTTTCATAAAGTGTCTGCAGCAGTCGCAGCTCAACTATTTTTGCAATTCGACTTTCAATAAACTACAAGCAGAATGATAGTACTGGTGGAGACTCTTGGAATGTTTTTCTGATGTGTGACGTGCCAGATGTCTAGGATAAAAATATACCCAAACATAATGTACTGTAATGTAGAGCCGGGAAAGGAGAATTGCAGAAGGTCAAATTTAGTGAGCATTAATGGGGAACCATCCTATCTCTGTAAATTATACGTTTTATTAAAACATTTAAAGTCACGTTAACTTGTGTTAAAAAGAAACTCTAAGCACCATAACCACTACAGCTTAATGTAGTGGTTTTGGTGCAAAGAGGCTGTCCCTGCAGTTTCTCAGGTGTAATTACATTTGTCCCTAAGGCTACCTCAAGTGGCTGTTAATGAGTCTGTCACTCAGATAGGTGCTGGAGCCGCTTCCTAGAACGGTCCTGTAATATTTGTTTCATTATCACTTTTCATGAAGACGCCGAGCGCTCAATCTGTCTAGTGCACCTCTGTGTGGCGATGCCAATTGGCACAACACTGCAATTTCCACACATGCCCATAAGCACCCCAGTGCTTCCCTACAGAGAAGAATTGGATTGGCTGAGATCAATTGTAATGGTGATCTTGGCCAGAGGGCACAGAGTAGGGAAGTAGGTGATAAAACTGCCAGTTCAGTCTGGGCACAACCAAGGCACAAATTGCACTGGGGGAGGAGACATCGAAACAATGTCTCTGATTCTCCTCCTCCCTTTGTGCTGATTGCCAGGTGTAATGGGCGGAGTTTATATTAATGACGAACATGGGGGCGCTCAGTCCCAGGGTAGAGGTTAATCCAGTAATAATGATTTTAACATTTAATTTTATTTACACACCTCACAAGCACATATTTGTTAAAAAATAGGGGTAGGTCAACAGAATACAAAAAATCCTGTGAAGTGGCCATTTCCCTTTTAATGTGTACATAGATATGTGTCTAGTTTTGTATATCACAGGTACCTTTACCAGTTGTGTGCTTGCTCCTGCAGATGGCTCAACGAATACTCCTGAATCGTTCTCTTGCTCAGTCTGTGAAAGGTTGTATTGTTCGTGAACAACACTTTTCCAACCTCATCGTAAAAGGCACAAAACCACTTTATCATGGACCTCTCCATACGTCTGACCTTAGTTCTCCTTTCTTCTGTGCTGCGCGTCACTTTTCCAGATCTGCCCAATGCCGAGTCACGTTCAACGTCCAAGATGCAGATGACTTTCAAGAGCGTGTGGTTTGCAGTGAGACGCCGATTTTAGTGGATTTTCATGCGCAGTAAGTACCTACGTAGCTTATTAATGAAATTTAAAGGGTTATTTGAAGTGGTCATGGTGCCTGGGGTCTGTATGTGCAGTGTTTTGCTATGAAACAACGCACATAGAGAGATCTAGCTCTTTCCTGCCGGAGGTGTAAGACACAGTGTAATTTACTAATGTCAATTCTGTGCACATTGGATGCCTATAATTGGCAGGCACAGCATGCAAGTAACAGATGACCAAAGGTGGTTCGGCTCTCCTCAGCCCTACTTCCAGGAATGCTCCAGCAAAGAGATCTGATGCCACCATAGCAGGATTGAGCTGCAGGGAGATCTTGACTTTGGTAAAATATTACCTTCATAGAATTTAGTGCTATATCAGCAGAGTTCCAAAATGTCTTCCTGCCACTACAGTTCACAAATAGCAGTGAGCCCCCTTAGTCGGCCTCAGCAGCTGTCAGGTGTGAGCTAAATTCATACTGATAAACCCAGAATAATAGGTATCCAGTAGCTGCATAGTTTATAATTGGTATGCATCTCTGGGAGAGCCTTTTCTCCTGCACCTGTTTAGGGTTTCAAAAATAGCTCATCTGAAAAAGTTCTCTTACGAGACTGTGGTCGGAGTTTGGTCATGTTTGCTTATGTCTTGCCATTTGGATTTCAGTTCCCTATTCTAGTGAGTTTAGTGAAGTCTCCCCCAACATGCCCATTGGCAATACACCCTGGGACACAATGAATAACCCGTATATTCATTGCAGTGACATAAGGTCTACTTACCATATGAACCTATTAGTTTCCATTTTAGCTTATTAAACCTCTCTTTGCCGACTAAGTAATCCTCTCTGTTTTGCTCAGCCTAATTGACCCTCATTTTACAGAAATATTCCCTGTTTCCTTAGGCCCTACCTTGTGCTTCTTTTTAGATATTTATATATTTTAAACCATCACAATGAGGTTTATTCAGTAAACTCTGAATTGTAGTGAATTGCAAACAACATTTAAAATTTTATTCAAAAAGTGCAACTTTGGAACACATTCTTTAGAAAAACAGACTATTCTAAATTTAGAATATGTGTAAAGGAGTCATTATCAGACTCGAGGAGTTTAAATGAAGTCCAAGAAAAATGTGATTATTTAAAAGTTGCCCTGCTTAACCCCTTAAGGACACATGACATGTGTGACTTCAATAGTGGGGAAAATAATGGAAACCATGTTAAAGGATAGGATTGTTGAACATCTAAAATCACATGGGTTTACTTCATGCCAAACTAATCTTATTGATATTTTTGATTGGGTAACTAAAATTATAGATCAGGGTGGTGCAGTAGACATTGCTTACCTAGATTTCAGTAAGGCTTTTGACACTGTTGCACATAGAAGGCTCATCAATAAACTGCAATCTTTAAGTTTGGATTTCAATATTGTTGAATGGGTAAGGCAGTGGCTGGGTGACAGGCTACAGAGGGTTGCAGTTAATGGAATATATTCGAAGCTTGGACTTGTCACCAGTGGGGTACCTCATGGATCTGTACTTTGACCAATTCTCTTTAATGTGTGTCAGCCACTGCCTTACCCATTCAACAATACTGGAATCCAAACTTAAAGATTGCAGTTTATTGGTAAGCCTTCTATGTGCAACAGTGTCAAAAGCCTTACTGAAATCTAGGTAAACAATGTCTACTGCACCACCCTGATCTATAATTTTAGTTACCCAATCAAAAAAATCAATAAGATTAGTTTGGCATGATCTCCCTGAAGTAAACCCATGTTGTCTCTGATCTTGAAATCCATGTGTTTTTAGATGTTCATCAATCCTATCCTTTAACATAGTTTCCATCACTTTCCCCACTACTGAAGTAAGGCTTACTGGCCTATAGGTGCCCGACTCCTCCCTATTACCTTTCTTGTAAATGGGCACAACATTCGCTAACTTCCAATCTTCTGGGACTACTCCTGTTAACAATGATTGGTTAAATAAATCTGTTAATGGTTTTGCTAGTACACAGTGAAGGATTTTAAGCATGTGTGGGATAGGCATAAGACTATCATAGCTATAAGATAAGGCCAGGGACTTGTTTTGGGCTACTGGGGCTTTTAAGTCCAGCTTGGGAATAGAACCTGGCAGGCTGCATGTCAGAAGTCCAACCAATCGCCAGGTGTTTTCTAGAGCCCCAGACCTTGACCCCTGGGTATACCTTCTGAACAGATCGATTGACGGATGGACAAGAAGGGAGCAAAAACTGATCCACAAACTTACTCTAGCTGCAAGGAGAGCAATAGCATATACCTGGTTACAACCAGACGCGCCACGTATAGCGAGTGTCATAATGAGAATTAGGGTAGTGCGCTTGATGGATGTTTTAAATGCTAGGATTCGGGGGTCCACTGGAGCATTTCAGAAACTGTGGGAGCCATGGGATGATAGCCCACTGAGTTCTTAGAGAACGGTGATTGTCTCCGCGTGGGTGGCTCCGTTCTCCCCGTCGCCCTGGGTTCCCCTCCGCGCGCCTCTTCTATTTTCTACCTCTTCCTTCCATCTTTCTATCCTCTGATCTGTTTCTATATCCTTCCTTTTTCATACACCACGGCCATGTTTTTTACAGGGCAAGTAGTAAAAGGCTTACAGGTACGGATAGCTTTGCACCATTACTAAGAGTAAGAGCTGGTTATGATAACCATGTGATACTGCCTATAACAACACTTTAACTATAGTTGCCAAGTACCTGGTTCTGTGTTTGAACAAAACTGAAAAATTGTAAAATGTGCATCTTTGCCAAGCCAATCCCAAGAATTTTATTGTACAATGTTATTTGCTACATAACGTGTATTGACTCTGTGCGTTTGTGTTTTTTGCACTGCACAACAAAAATAAAGAATAAAAAAAAAAAAAGTCAAACCATTCTACAATGTGTAATGTCTGCATAAATGACTCCATCAATACTTGAGTACTGTGAGTCATAAAGAAGTATTTTTTATGAAACCAAGCTCAGCTTCTAAATATTGGTTCTGGCTTCGATTTTGAAAGCCAGAGCTAGCTATTCACTCTGATCAGTGTGTCTGCATATCCTACCCTCTAACTGCAGTGGTCCACAAGCTAGGACTTCCCAGCTCCTTCCTGTTAGAATGTAGAAAAGTCCTAATTCTGCTTCAGTAAATATTTTGCGGGTGTGTGATGAACTGGTGTGAGTCCACTGGTCCAGGTTGAATCCTAATGCTACATGGATTCTTGATTTTCAACCCATTCCCAACCAGTCATTCTCTTTGCAGGTGGTGCGGACCTTGTAAAATCCTAGCTCCAAGATTGGAGAAAATGGTTGCAAAGCATCAAGGAAAAGTGCAGATGGCAAAAGTGGATATTGATGACAATACGGACCTTGCCATTAAATATGAGGTAGGTACTGTACTTTGTCATTGGAATGAAACACTTTATGCAGGTTTTGTAATTTTTTGTAACTGGTCGTATTTTTCTTTACCCGTTGGTAATTTCTGTACAATACAAATAGCTTGTTTAAAAATGTTAGCTCTTATGTAACATGGAGATCACGGGACACGTGGTCCCAATGATTTTTCAGAAAACGTATTCATTACAGCTAGGGTTGCCACCTGGCCGGTATTTTACCTGCACAGCCGGTAATTAGTGCTGCCTTGCCGGTGCCGGCAATTGAGATTACAATGTAATGTATGTGGAGAGAGGCAGGATTAGGAAGATACATTTTATCTCAGCCTCTCTCTGCTGAATGGATCCACGGAGGAGCACAGAGTGAGTATAGCCAGCAGCTCAGGTAAATGAGGGATGGGGGACACAAATGGCAGAACAGACTCCATTAAGAAGCAATCCCAATCCAGTAACATATGGACTTTACATTCCCTGTATAGGACTTGGAGAGGCTGGGAATCATAACCTACATTATTATAGAGGATCATTTATGTTTTCTCAGTTAAGTGAACTATCCTTATCTTACAGGGAATGATGGAAGGAGGAACACATTTGTTGTAGGCACTCAAAGGCAAACATTCTGATTTTAAACATACAGTGTTCTGAAAGGTCAAAAACCTGCTATCTTGCTCCTAGACTGCAGATGTGACTAAGGCATGAGGGAGGGCTGCTTTCTGTGTGTGTGTGTGTGTGTGTGTGTGTGTGTGTGTGTGTTCAGCAGTCTGTCTGTGTGTGTGTTCAGCAGTCTGTGTGTGTGTGTTCAGCAGTCTGTGTGTGTATTCAGTAGTTTGCGTGTGTTCAGCAGTCTGTGTGTGTTTGTTCAGCAGTCTGTGTGTGTTTGTTCAGCAGTCTGTGTGTGTTTGTTCAGCAGTCTGTGTGTGTTTGTTCAGCAGTCTGTGTGTGTGTGTTCAGCAGTCTGTGTGTGTGTGTTCAGCAGTCTGTGTGTGTGTGTTCAGCAGTCTGTGTGTGTGTGTTCAGCAGTCTGTGTGTGTGTGTTCAGCAATCTGTGTGTGTGTGTGTTCAGCAGTCTGTGTGTGTGTTCAGCAGTCTGTCTGTGTGTGTGTGTGTGTGTGTTCAGCAGTCTGTGTGTGTGTGTTCATCAGTCTGTGTGTGTGTGTATGTTCATCAGTCTGTGTGCATTAAGTAATTTTTAGTAGTCTGTATTTAGCAGTCCGTGTGTGTGTATTTAGCAGTCCGTGTGTGTGTATTTAGCAGTCCGTGTGTGTGTGTGTTCAGCAGTCTGTGTGTGTATTCAGTAGTTTGCATGTGTAATCAGCTGTGTGTGTGTTCAGCAGGCTGTGTGTGTGTTCAGCAGTCTGTGTGTGTTTGTTCAGCAGTCTGTGTGTGTTTGTTCAGCAGTCTGTGTGTGTTTGTTCAGCAGTCTGTGTGTGTGTGTTCAGCAGTCTGTGTGTGTGTGTGTTCAGCAGTCTGTGTGTGTGTGTTCAGCAGTCTGTGTGTGTGTGTGTTCAGCAGTCTGTGTGTGTGTTCAGCGGTCTGTGTGCATTCAGTAATTTTTAGCAGTCTGTATTTAGCAGTCCGTGTGTGTGTATTTAGCAGTCCGTGTGTGTGTATTTAGCAGTCCGTGTGTGTATTTAGCAGTCCGTGTGTGTATTTAGCAGTCCTTGTGTGTGTATTTAGCAGTCCGTGTGTGTGTATTTAGCAGTCCGTGTGTGTGTATTTAGCAGTCCGTGTGTGTGTATTCAGCAGTCCGTGTGTGTGTATTCAGCAGTCCGTGTGTGTATTCAGTAGTTTCTGTGTGTGTAATCAGCAGTGTGTGTATTTAGCCGTCTGTGTGTGTATTCAGTAGTTTCTGTGTGTGTAATCAGCAGTGTGTGTATTTAGCCGTCTGTGTGCGTATTTAGCAGTCTCTGTGTGTTCAGCAATATGTGTGTATGTCTTCTGCAGTCTGTGTGTATTCAGTAGTTTCTGTGTGTGTAATCAGCAGTGTGTGTATTTAGCCGTCTCTGTGTGTGTGTGTGTGTATTCAGCTGTCTGTGTGCGTATTTAGCAGTCTCTGTGTGTTCAGCAATATGTGTGTATGTCTTCTGCAGTCTATGTGTGAATTCAGCAGCGTGTGTATGTATTCGGCGGTCTGATAGGAGAATGGTGATAGAAATAGAACCAGTATCAGTACCACCTCTGTTATAAATAGCTCGTACATGCATTGTTATATACCATATATACACACACAATAACATACACATGCTCACAGTACACAGACTCTGACAGTATTCACACATTGCTATACTGCTCCCCTATTACATACACTCATTCAGACACTATATACACTCACTGCCTCACATACACAATGCTACAAACAAAGCAAAGTTCTCTTATGTATGTCGTGTCCTGTGATGTCACACATACACAATTAATTATGCAAATTAGCATGGCCGGTATTTTTTTCCAAAAAAGGTGGCAACCCTAATTATAGCGTATTTTATTAGATGGGGGCTTTCCTGTGTGAGCTTCTGCTAACTGGTTGTCTTTACCTATAAATGTTAGAAAGAAACCTACTGTCACGTGCCTTATTTCTGCACAATGGACCTCCATCTTCATTGATTGTGTTTCCCTCTACATACAGTATATTTAGCAACTAGAAAAGCTACAATTTCTGGGGAAATTGTGTCAAGTGTTCTTGCCTCCACCAGTAGTCTACAACTAGGGATCGACCGATTATCGTTTTTACTGATATTATTGGCTGATATTTGGTATTTTCGGCAATATCTGTATCGGCCACTAAAGATACCAATATTGTCGATAATACATACCAGGAACGCCGGGTCCATTACAAGCCTGGTGGTCCTGGGAGGGCCCAGCAAGCTGTTACTTGCCTTCCCAGCAGCTCCCTTCCGCTCCCTGTGTAAATCTTGCGAGACCCGCAGCCGTCATCGCGTGGCCACTGGTTACCATGACATCGCTCCGCGCAGCACGCAGGCCGCGAGATTTACACAGGGAGCTGCTGGAAAGATAAGTAAGCGCTTGCTACGAGCCCCTCTATACTTTCCATGACACTGGACCACCAGGGAATGCTATATCCCCCCTAAAAAGAACAATTAAAAATATATATTTTTTAATTAAATAAAAAATGCCCCCTCCCCCCAAATCACATACCTACAGAAACACACACTGCATTATATAAGCGCACTACACAAACACACACACTGCATTATATAAACACACTACACAAACACTGTGTATATAATGAATGCAGTGTGTGTGTGTTTGTGAAGTGTGTGTACAGTGAATGCAGTGTGTTTGTGTAGTGTGCATAGTGAATGCAGTGTGTGTATATAATGCAGTGTGTTTGTGTAATGTGTGTTTGTATAGTGTGTATATAATGCACACTACACAAACACATACACTGCATTATATAAACACACTACACAAACATCACTACATGACATCACTTGCTGCTCCAGCCTGGCACAGGTCAGAGTATTTTGGCGGTTGCCATCTTCAAACGGTCATATTTTAAAAACTATAAATCCTACAGCAAAGAGCTTTATATTGTGAGAATCACAAGACCCAGACCGACATGTTGATGCGTAGTGTGACGGAACGCTGGCGATCCGACTGAGTACCTCCGCCAATCGATGCGCCTAGTGCTTGCTGAGGACTCCAAGAACTCCAACCAACACCATCAGCACTGCAGACCCCACTTCCAGCGATACATCTGCGCCAGGATCTCGCCGCCTCCACCCACCCTGGATCCACGACCAGGATCCAGCTCCCAGTGGGTGAACCTCTCCTAAATCCAGAGAGCGTAGCAGGAACAAATCAAGCTATTGCAAGAGTTTACTCTGGGGAGTAAGTGATTATAGCAATCCCCAGAGTGTAGTTTTCCAATCCCCCAAACATGAGCCAAGGCTTAATGCTGGAACAAGACTTTACTGGAAGTAACAACAACATGTATTCAAGCTACAGTTTCTTTTATGCCCTGCTCCCATGCAGGGGAGGGACACACACGTTATCTACAGTAGCCAATAAAACAGAGGTTGCAGCCCACACAAAATCCTCCCCTCTGCCTGTGATTCAATTATCTTATACAATAGAAGATTCAATTATCACAGGTAGGAAAAATACAGTTTTTACAGCATATTCATAACTTCTAAAATATACATCACATTCACATAACAAATTATATATTCACAATCAATCCATTCAGGGAAACAACATATCAAAAAATGGCATGAATCAGACCAGGGGTTCAGAAGTTAGTAAAGTATCTTTTGGGGCCTGGCTGGCAGCATGGCTATCTGGCCCAAACTGGTTTTACAGAGCCCTCTAGCCTGGAGACAATGGGGAACATAATCCACTTATATCCAGGGATAGAGGCAGACTCCATTGAGCACATGTTCCCAGTAAAACACAAAAGGATACAAAAATACATAACTCCGATCATACTGAATTGAACGGGCCAAATCTCCCAGGGTCCATAGTCACAGGGCAAGAGGCGGGCAGGCAGTCCTCTCCAGGCACAAGTGGCGAAGGGCACTTCGTAACAGTAATAAATCCATGAATAAAGTAGCAGGGAGGGAAAGTATCGAATGAATGGAGGGGGATTCTTCACACGTAGTATGTCTCTGAAATATTAAAAATGAAGGTACAGTCGCAGTTTAGAAATTGCCCTTCAAATTTAAGCTGGCTGGAGTGGAGTTTCAATGAATGTCAATGGACGGCGTGAGTTGCAAACAAATGGTCATATTGTGAAAATTATCAGGACTATGGCAGAGAAAGGATTGGGGGCACACCCAAGACCTGCATTTTGCATGAAAGGTGCTGCTGCAGTGACAAAACTATTTAATTTGTCCCCCACATTTTAGTGTAGGACCCACCAACATTGGGGTACATTGAAAGCAGTGGTGGGCTTAACATCATATGGCCATATGGTGGAACTAAATCTCCATATTTATTCTTAGATAGGCAATTTAGAAGCCTTCTTTGTGTAGGTGGGCCTGGAAATGAGGGAGTGGTAGCAGTTTAGAAATCATGTCCTGATTTTTCAGCTTTTGCCAGCTCCCACTCTAGTTTTGAACATTTTGCCATTCATTCCTATGGGACAAATTTCGCCACAAGAACGACGATATTCCGTGAACCATTCGGCGAAACGTTCCACAAAGTAATAGCAATCCGATCGGGAACAATCCGCACGTTTCGGTATATTACTGTCTATGTAGTGTAAAAACTGTGGGAGGAGTTAGGGTGGTATATTTAGCTAGAATAAGAATAATAATATATATGTGAGATAACATTAAGTGCAAGAACACTTAATGAGGCACAAACGATACCCTGCTCTCACAGAGATACGTTTTTTTTTTGTTTTTTTTACAGCAGGTATGTTGGCCTAAATATTGCAATTTTGTATTCAGCTTTTTGTAAAAAAAGGGTGAAGAGGAATTTGGATCCAAAATAGACAGACCCGCATAAAGGAATTCAATGGGAATTGGAGCCACGTATACCAACAGCCTCAAAATGGGCCCTAAATAGTGAACTAAAAAGAACAATGAGGGGTGTGGAAAAGCAGTGTATTCTTAAAGGGACACTTCAGCTAATTGAAGTGGTCTGGGTGCTGAGCCCCTATTGCACTTAGTGCTGCAATCTAAAACATTGCAGCTCCACAGAATGTTTACATTGCAGCACTAAGTCTGCCCTCGGTGACCAGACAGCCACTGGGTGGCGCATCCTGAATTTAAACAGACTTTTGGTCCATTAACTGAAACGGAGAGGTCTAATGCGCGTGGACATTGGTCTCCCCTATCGGCGGGGGAGGAGTGTGAGCGGAGCCTGACCCAGTGACAAGGGACATCGGTGCTGGATTCAGATAAGTGGCTTAAGGGTTTTTAACTCCTTCAGCCCCACGGGACGGAGGACCTATTAAACCTATAGTGCCAGGAAAATGGCTTTGGAATCCCAGGCATTATAGGATCCCTTTAAAGATTATCCACCTCAGAAACACTACTCAGACCTAAATATTTGCTAAATACATTCCAAGAGTCTAATAAAACTTAACTTGTATTGGTGTAGATAAAAGCGAGCTAAATACATACAAACAATTCTTTACATACAGAACCAATGACGTCATGTAAAAAATCTCCTTGATGTTGCTGCAGTGTGATATCCACTGCCTGTATAATGGTATCAACAAAGTAACAATGAAAAGAAACAGAGCAGTGATAAGGTGAAGGGAAGTTTCACATAATTAATTAGCAAGAATTGCAACAGGGTATATATACGGTACAGACTGGAGCTCACAGTCTGGCCTAACACTCTGACAACTGCAAATCAATGATCTCGGTAAACTAAACTCATTTGGTGCTATACCTGTTTGAGGGAAGGGGGGAAAACACACTGGCCGCTTGTTCCTTCGAGGGCACCACCAGTCTACACCCCTCCCCTCCTGAAAGGACAAAGTGGGCAGTAGTTTTAGAAGGTAAAGAAGCTGTGAAGAGGAACTACCTGAATCGGGAGAAACATGAAAAATCAAAAGTATAACACCAAAAAAATGAACTTCCCAATCGATCAGGTTAAAGAACAGACTGGATAGCTGGTCTGATAACCATTGAAGCTACACCAGCTTTGGGAAGGTAGTTAGAGCTGCATGAAGGACATTTGGGAGTTATCAAGTGTCTTTTCAGTCAACATTAGTCAGCCACAGCAGCAATTGTCCATCATTAAATCCGATATCCATAACATATCAGAGACTCGTTCGGTGTCAAATGTCCTGAATAAAGTACTTTGTAACCAGATGGGTTCTTTATATATAACCGGAATTCTTATCAAATTCTCATTGCTGCAATAAAACTTGAAACAGTACGATGTCAGGCGTGAATTATTGGGTCTCTTCGCAACTTTTCATACGAAGTTCAGTCAGAATTATTACTGCATTGCCAATTTGACTAATTTCTCGTCTTCCACATGCAGGTATCTGCCGTGCCGACAGTCCTTGCAATGAGAAATGGTGGGGTGGTAGATAAATTTGTGGGACTGAAAGATGAAGACCAGCTGGAAGTTTTTCTCAAGAAACTCATCGGCCCTTAAAATGAGACTGAAAAACCTCAGCTCCCACATGTCACCAGCTACTACTGGCATAGAATCCATCTGTTGTATAACCATGTTAGCCCGTTGGCTGAAGAGTTCCCTTCATTCTTTCCTTTGCCCGTGAAACAAATGTGACTAGGTGGAAATTTGCAGTGGGGGCAATGCGAATGAGAAATTAGATCATTATTTAGTCTGTCAATCAATACATTCTTTATCTTTATCTTCTTTACAAAGAATTCTTCATCCTCCGATACCCATGTATCACGTCCAACTGTTTAAAAGATTTTTAGAAACAAATGATCTGTAAAATGTAAGTGTGCAAGAAAACGTTAACTTCAATGGTATATTTTTGTGCTGTTAGACTATGCAACTGTGAAATGAGAAGACCTGTCCAATAAACACTTTAAATACTGTGAATAATGTCGTACATTGTCACAATTGATTGTTAAACACCTAAATGAAACCAATTACCCTGGGCAAACATAACCTCAGCTTGGAGGAACATTCAGGGTGTTTTAATAAAGCGAGAATTCAAAGTCAATTTTACATTTAAAGCCAAACTGAAATCTTGGCTTGTTTCCAGTTTTGATATTTTGATCTTAACTCTGAAATGGAATAATCCTGATTAAAGTGGCACTGTCACGCTGTACTTACCTATTCCCGCACTGTCACCCTGTATTTACCTATTCCCGCACTGTCACCCTGTATTTACCTATTCTCGCACTGTCACTCTGTACTTACCTATTCTCGCACTGTCACGCTGTACTTACCTATTCCCGCACTGTCACGCTGTACTTACCTATTCCCGCACTGTCACTCTGTACTTACCTATTCCCGCACTGTCACTCTGTACTTACCTATTACCGCACTGTCACACTGTACTTACCTATTCCCGCACTGTCACCCTGTACTTACCTATTCCTGCACTGTCATGCTGTACTTACCTATTCCCGCACTGTCACTCTGTACTTACCTATTCCCGCACTGTCACCCTGTACTTACCTATTCCCGCATTGTCACCCTGTACTTACCTATTCCCGTACTGTCACCCTGTACTTACCTATTCCCGCACTGTCACCCTGTACTTACCTATTCCCTCACTGTCACGCTGTACTTACCTATTCTCGCACTGTCACTCTGTACTTACCTATTCCCGCACTGTCACGCTGTACTTACCTATTCCCGCACTGTCACGCTGTACTTACCTATTCCCGCACTGTCACGCTGTACTTACCTATTCCCGCACTGTCACGCTGTACTTACCTATTCCCGCACTGTCACGCTGTACTTGCCTATTCCCGTACTGTCACGCTGTACTTACCTTTCCCGCACTGTCACTCTGTACTTACCTATTCCACTGCACTGTCACGCTGTACTTACCTATTCCCGCACTGTCACTCTGTACTTACCTATTCCCGCACTGTCACCCTGTACTTACCTATTCCCGCATTGTCACCCTGTACTTACCTATTCCCGTACTGTCACCCTGTACTTACCTATTCCCGCATTGTCACCCTGTACTTACCTATTCCCGCACTGTCACACTGTACTTACCTATTCCCGCACTGTCACCCTGTACTTACCTATTCCCTCACTGTCACGCTGTACTTACCTATTCTCGCACTGTCACTCTGTACTTACCTATTCCCGCACTGTCACTCTGTACTTACCTATTCCCGCACTGTCACCCTGTACTTACCTATTCCCGCACTGTCACGCTGTACTTACCTATTCCCGCACTGTCACCCTGTACTTACCTATTCCCTCACTGTCACCCTGTACTTACCTATTCTCGCACTGTCACTCTGTACTTACCTATTCCCGCACTGTCACGCTGTACTTACCTATTCCCGCACTTCTTCCTCTTATCTGCTTTGTCTTATGTATTTTTCTTATGCTTGACTTTCTTAGACTCTGGGTGGAGCTTAAATAACCTCTACTTCCGGTGTTTAGGAACGTTTCCCCAGGATACTCACCTTTTCCTCACCGTATGTTCCCGTTGCCTCATTTCACTCTTTCTGAACGTCCTGTGATATGGCCATACGCGGGAATTTGACCGCGCAAGCTTAATGTGGGCAGATGAAGACAATGCAGTAAACCTAATTTCCTGAAACACTAAGATGGTGGCGCTCAGGAAATAGTTCTGGAGAAACAAGGCAGTAGAAAAAGGTGAAATGGGGGACCAAGAGGGATTTGGGGATTATTGAGGGGGCAAAAAAGTGTAGAGCAGTCGGGAGAGTGTTTAACAAAAAAAACCTCATGTGTCCATGACACAGCCGCTTTAAGGTCTCGATTTAATATTGTTGGTTAAGCTTTACGAACGATTTAATATTTTTTAATAAACTTTTTAAATGATTTAATAGTATGAAAAATATTTACATTTGTGATCTTTTGATATACCTATATATATATATATATATATATATATTAACCTTTGTTATATTTATGTATTTAAGTTATATTTATATACTTTTTGCTATTTTAATAGGTTAAAAGAATCATTAGAAAAGATTATCGAAAAATATCAAATCAGTTGGAAAGCTATCCCAACAATATTAAATGGAAGCCTAATTTGGGAGAATCTTCTGAGGATTTTTAAGTAAACCTCGAATAGTAAGAATGTAAATGGTGGAAGACTTTCTTTCAGCCCAAGTCTCGCAGTTCAGATTTTAAGTTGAGATGGTTCCGAGTTTAGTGAATAACACTTAAGTCTGCGATTTCTTCTGTTATTTTTACCTACATTTTGCAAGTCTGAAAGTCAGTCGGATTCTTTCACAATTAGTTCCGAGGTTTATTTTTTTTTTATTTTATTTTTTTAAGAAGCAGTATTGATTCTTGACATTGATATGCTGAAAACAATGCTGTTTTTGTTGTACGGAAAGTAAGGTAGCGTTTTAGATGTTCGTATCAGACTGTCATCGTGATATTAATAGTATTTATTAAAAACAGCCCAAGACTATTCCATCTTCAGTCACGATAAAACGGGGTGATAACGGTTCATCATAGCTACGTTTTGTTTATACCAAAAATAAAAGATTTTGTCTTCTCCAAAAGCCAAGACACAGAATGTATGTTGACCGGATGTATCCTGTGGTTTATGTTGCAGCTGTTCTAGTAAATTCTGTTATGTCAGCTTACACTATTTAACCCTTTCATTGACTGTAGCAAATACATATGCTGATCAGTCACAACATAAAAACCACCTTCCTAATTTTGGGTAGGTCCCCCTCCTGCTGCCAAAACAGCTTGAGGCGTGAATGTGTGAACGAGGGTTGTATAGGGAAGCAGCGCTTAACAGTTAAAATCCTTGTGTGGAGTCCAATGGAGCCAATATAAGGGAGAAAACAAAATGGGACAGGAATACTAATTTAGTGTAGAATAAATATATTGCACTCACACTTTCATGGAGCTCAGGGTCAGCTCCAGATCACAGCGTATGGACGGTACAATCCCCGTCTGTGGATGTCAGGATGGTCCTGATTATCTCTGGTATCCTATCCCTGTGCCAATAATACACGTGGTGTATTCCAGATGATGCTCCAGTGATATATATATATATAGGATATAAAAGAACAGGAATTGTGTTCTCTGTATAAATAAAACAAATTAAAGAGAGAGATATACTCACAATGGATGAGCATATAGGGATTGCTCGGTCCTTTACAGCATAGGTGGTTTGTCCCCCACCCGGGAATGTGAGATACAGCTTCTCCAATAAAAGATGTCCAATGAAGGTTCTAGGGTACAATGCAGATTAATTTTATTAAATAAAAAGTAAGTAACACACTAACGCATTTCACCTATACAGAAGGCTTTTTCAAAGTGTTCCCTACAGCCCCCGTTTTACTTGCATCAACGACCAGAAAGAAGAGACAATGGTTTGGGAAAGATTTAGCTGCTGTACACATAAGGAACAAGCGCCCGGAATCTCACTTGCTGCTATATCTGTGAATGTGGGAACGTGTCCTGGTGTATCTGGCACACAGACATGAGCAGCAGATC